TTACTAGTACTAGTGTCTATCACTGGGTTTCCTATCTATAATTTCCAAAAGTAAAGGTAAAACCAATTGCCTATTACTAGACAAGATCTTTTTTTCAAGCCAATTGCCTTATTAGCTCTTGACAAATTAGCCTTTTATGTCTCCTCATTTCTATATTAATTGGTACTGCTGTTGGAGTCTTGGACATTAAACAATTGGATATTGCTAATTAATTAAGTCACAATATATAGTCGTTCTTTGAACTAGCAGTTTATTGATTATTGCTTTCTTTAATATGTAAGCCACTATAAGCCCTGGTTTATTTAGTTTTAATTTTTTTGAAAGAAGCCCTAGTTTAATTAAGACAAAGGGAATTATCTTTCTTGCTCAATAGCCGAAATAATCGATTTGACCACGAATTATTGAAAGCCATACACTAAAATAAAGAGACTACAAACACCTTGTTAGTTACGGAGTATGAAACTTATAATGTATCATACAAGTATATACGACATACAAGTAATTTTACTCAAAAACGCATAATGTTATCCCATACGAGAAAGTACTTTCTCTATCAAGCCATTAGTAAATGTGACTTTTTGAAACTCTTAAAAAATTACTTTGTATTTCTTATGTTGTATAGATATGTATGCGTTGTTGTCGTACGTACATAAAGTACATATATTTGTGTTTTTGGAGCTAATTTGCTCAATGGAGGCATTAGGGAGGTCAAGACGCATTTGCGACTTGTTATGCAAAAGAGTTGTGAAAAATGTGCTTTACAATAATGATTTAGAAAGCTTTTTGAATAAAATTGACGTGTGTCCAAGATGTGACAAAATTTAGGAGAGCATGCATCGTCACATAGTATGCGTACATGGCTCAGCTCAAAGTGGCTAGTTCAGTGTCATGTTACGTTTTCTTGTTCATTGACGCGTCTTCAATGCTCAAGTTTTTAATTTACACCCTTCAAACCGTCATTTATTTATTTTTTAATTTTTTTTTACAAAGGATTAAAACAAATTACATAATACTAGAAAAGCATATAAAATGAACTGCCGCTTCTCCTACAATATTGTGAGCCTTGAGAACACGCTGTCTATCTGCCTTGTGCACATTGCAGTGCAAAAACTTCTATCCAAGCAACTGAATTTGTTGGATGAGCCACATGTAACTGATGTTTCCATGACCATCACCACGAAGAAGAGAAACCAAATTATAAGAATATGTAAACACCATAGCGGACCTAATGTTGCATTGGAGTGTAAAGCCCACTGTAATCCATAGAAACAAGCTAGAGCTTCAGCATGCAAAGCCGAAGTACAAACCCCATAATTGCCACCACCAATAATCCGATCATCCATAGGATCTTCGTTATTAAGACACCAACCCATTCCCTCATTGAGAGACTCTTTGAACCATGACCCATCAATTTGCATGTGAACCAGACTAGACCCTGATTGTTGTATCCCCAATTGAGCTGCATGAAAACCAGGAGGGGGAAAACCACTGTCATTTGGAGAAGAATAGAGGTTGAAAATGACAGTATCTTCGTCAGTAAAGATAGTATGTGTCTAGAGTATATCCAAAACCTGTAAAGTAATGGGTTTAGTAATAGGCGAGTCTGGCCTAAACACCCTATTATTTCTACATAACCAAAGGCTCCAAAGAGTGCCAATGAAGATACTAATATGGGGACTCGTAATCCCATCCCGACTAATAAAAGTCGGATATAATTTTGGATCTAATCTAAGAGAGAAAGGTGTCCATGTAATCCTGAGTAGATGCTAAGGCTTCCACCCCACCAGGCTTCCCTAGCAATACCACAATTTCGAGATAGATGATTAAAATCCTCAACTTGAGTGGAACAAAGATCGCAAAATAAACTTGGAATCGGAACCCCTCGATGAGAAAGCTCACTTTAACTGTTAACCCTTTATTTAATAGTTTCCATAAGAATAGTTTCCACTTTGGTTGTATGTCAAGGGACCAAAGGAATGTCCAAAAGGGGTTGTTATGAGACCAATTGTGCTGGTCCATCGGCTCTTGTAAAAAAGCATACCCAGTTTTAACCGAATATCAACCCGACGTAGTCCGACTCCAATAACAAAAGTCAGATTTAGCGACGTCTGGTTTTTCCAATGCAAGAATTTTTGTGAGAAGCCCATGATTGAGTATGTTGATTGATAAAGTATTTAACATCCATGCCATAGAAGTTTGCAAAGGAATTCCCAGTTTGAATTCAGGAATATGTCCATTGACCCAATTAGAGGTACCAGTGGGGATGGAACATCCATTGCCCACCTTCTAGCTACACCCAGTTAGTAATAGTGTATCTGCCCGAATAAAACCACGAAGGCCGTAGGAGTTCCTACCAGTGAAGCGATGAGGAACTTGAGGGTGGTTTGAGAGAAACTGCACTAAAAACCTTGACACCAGTAATTGGGGGTATGAAACTATTCTCTAGACCTGTTTCATGAGTAGAGCCTTATTTAGAGTGAATATACATCGAATTCTTAAGCCTCCTATGCCTTGAGGCAAATGCATTTTATATTTGTTAACCCAGTGCATTTCTTTATTTTCTTAATTGGACCAGAAAAATTTCAGGAGTAAAGAATCAATTTTCCTAGCCACCGAAGCTGGTAATTCAAAACAAGAAAGGACATGAGAACGAAGCTATAGCAACCAAAATGGAGTTAATGAAAATTAACTTTTGCGACTAAGAAAGGCGAAGTGAATTGAGCGCATGTATACGACCCAGTATTTTGTCGATGATAAACTGGAAGTGAACTTTTTTCTTTCGTATGAATTCGATAGGAGTACTAAGATGATGAACATGTTTCATTTGGAAAATAGATTTAAATTCTTCTTGAACCGCAGTGGTAGTGTTAAAGCAAAACTTGATAAGGGACTTTGAAAGGTTAAGCTCCTGCCTCGAGATTTTGGTAAATTGTTGAATGATACCCACAATATGAGTACATGAAGTACTTTCTTTTTTAGTTAAATGACAGTTCATCAAAACAATTGTCCAAGATTGCTAGATTGAGCACGCGACGCGCATAGTCTTAAGCCAAAAGAAGGCTTGAAGAAAATAAGAGCATCATCGGCGAAGAATAAATGTGAAATAAATGGACTAGTTCTAGAAACCTTAATACGTTGAAACAACCTCAAATCCTGACCCAAATGTAGCATTCGGGAGAAAATATCCATACAAAACAGGAAAAGATATGGTGAAAGAGGATCACCTCGGCGTAGACCACAATGGGGTTTAAAGGTTTATGAGGTAATCCCATTAATAAGAGATTTATAGCACACTGTTGAGATGCACTGTTGAATCATTTGTAGCCATCGTTCTGGAAACCCATAAGCTCTAAGGACTCTTAATAAATAAATAAATAAATAAATAAATAAACTCCAATGAATTCTATCACATGCCTTACTCGTATCAATTTTGATAGACGCAAGCCAGTTGGTGCCAGTTTTTGAAGAGTTTATCTTTTCCATCAACTCATGACTCAATAAGATATTGTTTGTTATAACTCTTCCCTGGACAAAAGCATGCTGAGATCGAGTCGGAGATTAGCAAAGGGAGATACTTACGAATTCTTGCAACTAGCTAGGCACTTCGATGAGCACTTGTAAATGGTATTACATAAGCTTATCGGATGAAGATGACCCATCTCTGTCGGTGTGGCTATTTTTGGAATCATAACAAGTAATGATTGATTCCATTCTTTCAGAAGAAACCCAGTGCAAAAGAAGCTTTGAATAGCAGAGATTACCAAGTCCCAAACAATGTTCCAGTTAATCTTGAAAAATTCTGCAGTAAACCCATCTGGACCAGCCGACTTGCAATTTCCCAAGTCAAACATAGGCTTTAATTTCAGCAGCAGTAAGAGGTCGTTCCAGATTGTTAATCTGAGACGAGGTAAATTTTGGTAGGTCGAGCTCACGGAGGACGATATCAATTTCTGGATCATAACATGGGTTGGTGTTGGGTATGGCCCAAATTTTATAAGCCCATTATATTGATGGAGTATAATCTAGAAGCTTCCTGAAAAATCAAGAGAAGATTACACTTGATTTTTCTAGAGTTATCTACAACTTTAATATCTCCTAGAATATTCTAGAGAATATTAAAAGTAGAAGCCTCTAGATTAAGAGCCATAATTATGGAGAAATTCCCATAAAAATCTAGAAGCCTCCATCCTCACCTATAAATATGGGTAAAGGGCATAACAACAACAACACAACACAAAAACACAAGAAGCCATACCAAATACAAGCCTTTCTACAAAATATTCTCCCTCCTTGTAATATTCCACTACTATCATAATACTCCTTTGTGAGTTTCTTATAGTGAGAGTTCTCTTGTAATAATCACCCTCTCAAGGGTTCTTGTACTCTCATACTTTCAAATAGTGGAATAAAAGTGCTATTTGTTGTATAAAATCGTGTGTTCATTTATATTAATTATCTTGCCAATTATCAATTTAGTTTATATTTCTCAATCAAACACATCTTCGCTTCCGCTGTGCACTCACCAACCCTAACAGTTGGCGTTGCATTTGAATGTTTTCTCTAGAGATTGAACAACATTTTGAATATCCTTCTGACGATGTCGAAGGATATCCAAAATCATACTATACTCGTATTCGCGGTATTTACCCTCTTTTCTAGAATAGTACAAATATGTAAGCATAGATGAATAATTGGTTGGTCAACTCTTATTTCATGGACCATCCCTCAAACTTAGATAGATCGTATCAAATGATATGTCGCCATTAAGGCGTTACTAAACAAAGCATTTCCTCAAAAATCAAGTATTTACACTAGTATGACAAAAAATTTAATTTCTTTGACTTATAATGACGCCAACTTATTTCTGCTCCTTAAATTATTTACATCTTAAGCTAAACACGCCATTCTCCCTAATATTAAATTCAAGATTTTGTTACAAATTTTACCCAAACTACCGTAACCCATCTCTTGAACAACATTTTTAGTTAGTTGCAGTAGGTTTGAAATCTTTACCTGTTTGTTCATCCAACTCTTTTTCATTCCCTTCTCTTTAAAACACTCTTACTTATGATGATTTTCCTAGCTCAAATATTCTTGCCCATTTTAATCTCGGTTAGCAATGACTTCTTGCACCCTTACACGTTTATATTAGACCGCGATTTCCTCCAAACAAACACAATATTCATACTAAGTTTCATTTCATTTACTAGCTAGAGATTGATGCTAAGTATGAAGTTTGTGGTGACATTAACGTTGGTGATTGTAACGATTTTAGGTTGTGTCATCGACGGGTATAATTGTAGGATTGTACAGTTTATCTTTGGGGATTCGCTCTCGGATGTGGGAAATAATGAGCAACTCCCTAAAAGTCTAGCAAAAGCCAATCTTCCTTGGTATGGTATCGATTTTGGTAACGGGTTGCCTAATGGAAGGTTTACTAATGGTCGTACCGTGTCTGATATTATAGGCATGTGCTACGTATTTCTTAATGTCTTGAACATTTTTATTTATAACCATGTACATCATCAACTAGTTTACTTGTTGTATTTCATTGAAAAAAAGTTTTATGAAGTTTAATTAACGCGTTATATGCAGGGGATGATATGGGTTTGCCAAGGCCACCGGCTTTTTTGGATCCAAATTTGGATGAAGATACAATTTTGAATAATGGTGTTAATTATGCATCTGGTGGTGGTGGCATTTTGAATGAAACTGGTGGTTATTTTGTAAGTATTAACAAATTTTTCGTACATACTAACACAACTTATAAATACGTGGTAGTTTTTAATCAATCTAGTTAAATTCTTGCATTTGTAGATTCAAAGGCTATGTATGTACAAGCAAATCGAGCTGTTCCAAGGAACTCAAGAGTTGATTGCTCGAAAAATTGGCAAAAATGAGTCACGAAAATTCTTTGAAGAAGCTCGTTATGTGGTTGCATTAGGAAGTAATGACTTCATTAACAACTACCTAATGCCAGTCTACAGCGATTCTTGGAAGTATAATGACAACTCTTTTATGGACTATTTAGTTGGAACCTTAAGAGATCAACTCAAGGTATGTTTGCATTTAGAACTCTTATACAAACTGTTATACTTGAAATGGATGTGTCACATCACTCGATATATTTTGAATCATACTGAAAAATGAATTACCGAGTAACAATAGATTTGAACATGACTGGACCCAAACCGATTAAATCAAATTTATTGATACGTTATTATATGTGTAGATATTGCACGGTCTAGGAGCTAGAAAGTTGATGGTATTTGGGCTTGGGCCCATGGGCTGCATCCCACTACAGAGGGTGCTCAGCACATCAGGGGAATGCCAAGATAAAACAAACAAGCTAGCCAAACAATTCAATGAAGCTACAGACAAGATGATGCAAGAACTCTCAACAAGTCTCACTGATGCTACCTACAAATTTGGTGACGCCTTTGATGTTGTTGACGATGTCATCAAAAATCCAAACAGATATGGTAAGTAGAATAAACACTGCACCCTCGGTCTCTATTGTATAGGCGACATCTGGGTAGAGATCATTTAGGGACGGAGACTGTACATAACATAGCTCTACTAATCCAGTTAGAACTAAATGTTATAAACTAGTCATTTACAATTTGAGAAAATGCAAAATTTGCCTTTTCATGTCATTTCTTAATCTTCGACGTAAGATCCTAAGATGTTTACTTGGTGGATTGTAGGTTTTACAAATTCAGACTCGCCGTGTTGTTCATTTGGACGAATTAGGCCAGCTTTGACATGTGTACCAGCATCAATATTGTGTAAGGATAGGAGCAAATATGTATTTTGGGACGAGTATCATCCGAGTGATAGTGCAAACATGATCATTGCTAAGGAGCTCATCAAGAAGTTCAAGTTTACGAGGGTTAATGAAGACGACAATGGCGAAGGCTCTCCTTCCCCTGCACCTGCATTAGGCCCTGTTGCTGATGCTCCCACGGGTGCTGCTGATGCACCCTCAGCCGCTGATGCTCCCTCTGGTGCTGATGCTCCTTCTGCTAGTAGCTAATCAATTCTTGTAGCAATGGAGTGCATTTTCAAGTCTAAGTATACTATGATTATTATTGATGTGGTATGTTATTGGTAGGTCAACAAAAAAAGGTTCATAAGTTGAGGTATTATTCATTTTGTACACATTTGGTGGAATTTTAGTTCTTTACTGTTTGTCTTTTCACTGATATGTAGGAAATGAAAATTAACTATAATATATAAGTATATAACTTGCATAATTCAGAATTATTTCATTGTTAACATTTCATTTGTGTATTACGAAATTACTAATATTACCCTCTTAAGCTAAGATTCAAAAGCAGATGACCAATGATCAAATCAATCAATTATGAAGGGTTAACTCATAGAATATCAAATGCCTCATTAAAGGTGGATTTGAAATACATGTGAAAGGCTGCATAATAACATGAGCGATTGATAACGTTAAGACAGAAGAAGAGTAATTGTCATTGCAACAATGGCGGATCCAGGGGTGCTAATATGATTAAAATTTGTACCAACATTTTCTTTGTATTGGTTTATAGCTCATGTAGAATGTAGTAGTAAAGTGTTTCGATCCGGGACATTTTTGACATCTAATCCATCTAATATTGGGCATACTATGGATAAGAATAGAACACATAGTTAGGTCCACCCAATTACCACTTGTTAATGGTATTTTTTTTTTTTTTTTTTTTTTTAATTAAAGAGCCACAAAAACGAGTGATGAGAATCGATCCCAAAATCACCTACAATTGAAAAGAAAGCTTTAACCACTTAAGCTAATTCTCACTGTCAATGGTACCATTGTACTCCGTACTATTGTGGGCTACGTAGCTCATTCTTCAAATTGCAAAAACACTAAGTTAAAGCTCTATAGTCGCATAACTTAATTTAAGATTTACTAAAATCATTTTAACATTTCATTACATAGGGGGGAGTTTGGACTAAAATCATTTACGATGGTTTGAACAATGAATCAACTTTTTCCAAATGAAGTAGCAAATGCTCGTTGCTTAAATAAAGTCACTAATTTTTTGTTATAGGAAAAGATACCGTTTATATAACTTTCATATATCCCACCACTTTAATGCTCCCACGTGGGTCACAGGCTGTTAAACTGATCTAGGAAGCACTTGCTACGAATATCCATTTTACAAGTCCAATGAGGTTCCATCTTAAAACCATTAGACAACGAGGGAAGTAGCCCTTGTCATTTATTCTTCAATGTGGGATACATAACATTTATACAATGTGAGACAACATACAATAATGTGGGTTTGTTTATGGATTCATATGATGTGAGACCACATACAACATACATTCACACAAGCCCACGTTACCAAGCTTAGCAGTTAGCAATTACTAATGTTACATGGTTATATGATGGTATTCTGTGATTTGTTTTCTTTTCCACAATTATGTCCATTTAATAAATTATGGGATAAAAGAAGTGTGGATACAATAAACCTTGTTAGGATTACAGTGATTTCTATGGAAGAAAACACAAAATATGTGTGGGAATAAATCCTAATGTGTATGATTACAATGAATTGTAAAATACCAAATACAACACAATGTATTTCAAACAAGTATTAGAAAAATCTAAGAGATTACAGAAAATCACAAAGATAACACTAGTGTGAAAATGATCAAACTTGCCTTTCCTCCAAGCTAACAACAACCAACATGAACATGAGAATAAAGATATCCCGTAAGACTTGAACCTTGATACACTGTCAAAGGCATGTATACACTTTCCTAAAGAGGTTTATTTTCCCCACACAGTGCTTGGGTTAAACCGGAAATCCTCTTTGAGATACAATTGACAGCAAATTTCGTTCTTAGCACTAGAATCGAAATACGATGAACAATTCACAAATTTGGTTAAATTGATAGAGATTTTTAGATGAAGAGATTGCAAGTTTCTGCAAATAAATTGTGGAGAAGAGAGAATCTTAGAGAGAATAAAACTAAAAAATTATCCCTTGGAAAAAGAAGTAATCCCTTAATAAAAAGGAAATAACCGCATAAAAAACCGCAGATAAGGAAGCAGCGCGAGCGCGATACAAGGCAGTGCGGGCGCGCCTCCCTAGGCATACAACACTCTAAATCATCAACAAACCTAAGTAATGAAAATTTTATCTAAGTGATAGTCATCAAGAGTTTGATCCTATTATTGACAACAAATAGATTTTTTATTTCCTTCTTCTTGAGAAGTTAGATCTTAATATTGAGATGAGACGAACCTATTCTAATAGTGTATAATTGTACATTTATTCAAAGAAAAACAAAAAGAATGTTAAAAGTTTCGTTATAGCTGAAAGTAAGAAAAATTCTTTTAATAGGTTGCTAGTTGACCATCTTAAGAAAAGTTTAAGACCACTTTGAGTTGTTAAGTCAACTACTTTATAGCTAGAGTAAAGAAAAAGTCAATAATAATCATCATCATCATCAAAATAGTCATGGTAGCAAAAATATGAGGCAAGAATGTTACATTATTACAAATAATCCCCAAATTTATAAATCATTTAGGTAATTTAAATGAAATTAAATTGACGTGTGGTCAAAATAAGTACTCAAAAGAAGTAGGTGAAATGATGAATCAAAATAGAGGAAATGAGCCAAATTAAAACATTAGCATATGAAAATGCAACTTTTTAGAGCATGCCCAACAAACTATGGCCCTTCTAAAATATGATCAAATTCCTCAAATTGTCATTTTCTAGAGCATTAATTTGCTGGCAAAAGATGAACCGTTGAGACCCACTAAACAAAAAGAAGAATTATTTGATCTTTTTACTTATGCAACTTTGCCATGTGAGTGGCATAAAAAGCCTTGAGACAAAAGAAGCAACTCAAAAATTTGATAGTGGAGACAAAGTGGATTAATACTCAAATTCCACCTCTCCACTTACTACATAAACTACGAGATACTCTTTCTAGATATTTTTTACATAATTTGCTTGATTATGGATCTTGATTATCCTATTTCTCTGCTTTTAGATCTTTTACACGTCAACTTCGTATGAAGTTTCTTAGTTTATGAGGTATGCAATCCCTTTCACAGTGTGTACATGATGTTCACACGTTGAAATGAAAATATTGTTCAATGCGTACTTGATACTTTTGTCAAACTTAAAGATGTTAATTAGTATTTTAAATGTCTGTCCTAAACTAATACAATTCATCACAAGTACAAAATACTTTGTGTACCTAGCTAGCTACGGAGTAATTATTAACCATTTGACAATGGTTAATGTGCTCCTAGATTGTTTCAATTTATCACATGATACTTAGTGCACCTAGCTAATTATTAACCATTTGACAATGATTAATAAGCTATTAAAAATGTCATTTACGTTTACCATATAGTTATATAACTTAGCTTGTGGAAAAATTGTAATTACATAACTTTGTCACGAGCTCTAATGTGTTGGAAAGAATTTGAACTTTCTATTGGAGAAAAGGTGTAAAGGGTCTAGCCTGTTGAAGTCTTGATCACTTTGTTTGTCAAGTATATATGCATTGCACCTTTTTTGGTTATTCAATTTTTTGTTAAAGCTTGGAAGTTAGCAAAAAGTCATGGAGAAATTTTAATTGAGCTCGACAAGAGCATAGATTGCATAAGTTATTTTCACAATATCTGAAAATAGCTATAATATAATAATGAATTACTCGTACTTGTTTTTTGTTTTAAAATTACTTTTTTCCAACAATTTTATTAACTTAATATACATTTGGGTACATTGTACATCTATATGATATTTTAAGTGTACATCCATTTTCTGATTAATTTCACTTTCAAAAAAAAATCTAGAAATTCATGAAAAGAAAGACAATGCAAAATTAAACCCACATTATTATATGCTTGATCGCTGGCAACGTTAATGTAAATAATGAAAGGCAATGGGCTAATTTATTATGGATGATTGGACAATATTCTGATCAATGTAAGTAGCTCATCAATTCCTTAAAATGACGTTTAATTAACAATGGCATGTATAATTTAGGTTTAGAATGTGATCAAGGAGAACAAACAAGTTAGCTTGTACAAGTATATCTTTATAATCCTAAAATCGAATTATGTAATTTCAATTAAAGATTATAATTAATCAGGATGATCATATCCAATTACTCGTGTGCCATTGCCATATTACTTATACCTTTGGAGAATGCAAATCAAGAGCAATTTTATATGTACAACCGGTTAGTACAAGTAATGTTATTTCTTTACCCATGTGCTTGTACTTTATGAGCATGTGGCTTAAAAAATATCATACATTGTACAATGTAAGGTACAATTAACTAGTTGTATGGCGAAGATCTTACAAATCAAGAAGTATATGTAGTTTAGCAGCTAATCGAGCGTAAAATTTGATAAGAACACCCATAATATAATGAATCGAAGATTACTTCACATACCAAATTAACATACATTAACCTGATAAAGAGTACGTACTCTAGCTATTACAGATTTATTCTAGACTCAATTAACCAGCAATAATTAATTATATATGCTGATATTTCCCTAATATCACTTATATAAATATATATACACATATATACTAACTAGTATCGATCTAAGATCATACCATACATAATACTAGCGGTAACAAAATTCACTGCCAAGTACAATAAGCTCTTAATATAGATTGCATAGTACAAATAATTATTAATATTCCCTTAATTAGATTCTTCTCACTTTAATTTGCCTTTGGCCTTTAAGGGGATGCATATCTCTAACAATCAGCACACTCTTTAAACTGAGGCCTTGGAGTGTGGCGATTGTTTGCTCCTGAACCTGGATAGTCTTCGAGCTCGAAATCCGCCAGCTTTCGTCGTTCCATGAAAGTTTTCTTTGGCATTGCCTCTACACCATTCTGTTTGATTTGGAAGTATAACATCTTTAAACACACTAGATTTTAAATTTGTGATCACGTATGTCAAGTTTAGTTTCTCATTTTTAATTCAAACTAAGGGCTTGTTCATTATTATAGCCTGTTTTTCATTTTGAAATAATATAAGATGTATCATGACCTTAAAGTTAGTCAAGTTTTTTTATTTTTTTTTTTAAAAAAACAACGATAATAAACAAGCCCTAAACAAACCAATCAAACAAACTAAGCTCTAACGACAATAATATATAGTAAATTAAGATTATCATAGAAAAATAGTGTAATTTGGATCTTGAAAATTGAACGATCCAACTAATTATGCCTAGTTTAATGATACAAAG